GTAAATCGCTCCGACGAGCGCAAGTTTCTGCCAACAGAAAAATAGTCAAAGTTGGAAATAGAAAACGCATGATCTGCTCGAAAGTTAACCCTAGAACGCATGTATCATTTTTTTGACCTTCTAACGCATGACTGGGGGCAATATCGACCCCACGCTTTATTTGATCGTAAAACCGGTCCTACAGAAATAAAGGGCCTTTAAACCTACATGAATTTCTTCGTTTTTTAATAACGAAGAGAATGGTATGCGGTAAATTTAATTTTACTCAAGTTTAGTTAGTGAAAAATCCATTTAAAGACTCGACAATAATGTCACTCGCTAGCTCAGGAGCGTAGTTCGCCTGGGGTCGAAATCGACCCCTCTCATGCGTTCTAGGGTTAATGCACGACTTTTCGTGCAGTTTTACAGCAGAATTGCAATGGAAATGTTACCAGGGTATCGACGTCGAGGAAGTTCGGCCTTCGCTATAGGATCCCCTTAAGCAATTACATTTGGGCTGCGGTCCACTTGACGCTACAAATGCTTCGAAGCATTCCTCTTCTCTTTTCTTTCAATGAAGAAAGAAGGAGAAGAAGAACACTCCAAAGTATTTGTAGCGTCAAATGGATCGCAGCCTTGAACAATGCGATTGGTCAATTCTTTTTCCGTCCCAGATCTCCGATTTCTAGCATCGTGGACACGAGGCTTTAGACGTAATGTATATTCGTATATATCCTCTTCCGGCAAAATAAAGTCCTATATTAAAAGTGAGAGCTCGTTTATTTGGGAAGATATGGATTATATATACTGTTGTTTTTACGTTTTTATATCTACGTTTGCTAACTTGCTCGCACTCCTTTTTAGGCCAGTCTTGCTCGTAATGTGTACGAAGAAAGATAATAAAGTTGGAATTTTTCTGGAAACGCGCAATGAGATTCTTATTTGCACCTAACCACATTTCTTGATGCCTACTAATACTTCCCTGATCGTCGTAGGACTTCCTGGAATCGCGATTCTCGGAATATCAATGAGCGCCAGTTCTTTGCTGATTAGATTCTTTTTAATAACTTGATATTTTTTTCAAGTTCGTGCCCGTTATCCGATTTAGGAGAGAGAATCGAAATTCGAGGAGGCATCATTTCATCCTTCTTCGAACTCCCATATAAATCCCTCGAATTCCCTTTGTCTCTCAGAAACGAATGCTTTACATGACGCAGTTTGACACGCTCAACGTAAACATCAGATCCATTTTATCCAAACAGACACGATAGCGGACTCGGCTAGCTACGCATTATGTACTACAGAGCGCGATACTAAAGCGTATAATAAAAAGTCAATTATCACACGAGTCAGCTATGTTGCGCGTGCACGTGCGTTTTGGTGTTCCAACATCCCAACAGCTTGGCTAAACTTAATTAATAATTAGTAATTTAATTAATAATTTTGTAAAATTAATCAAAAATTCGATGAAGCACTCTCAGCGGATTAAATTGTTAAGCTTATTTATTTTATGTTATTAAATATTATTTTATATTATTATAACAATTATTATTTTATATTACATTGCTAAGTACTATGACGGAAGTTCGCGATTCATCGTCTTATCACCGAAAGGATTTTGGGAATCCGAGATAAGCCGTATCCGGATCCGAACAACGAGCGGGAGAAAGAACGTTCGTTGAATGACGCACAACAGCTGTACGCAACTTTGAGTCGCGTTTCGTGTTCGTAAAATGCGTATGAGCAACGAGCAATCTCTGGGGAAATCAATCCTGTTTATTACTGATGAGTATTTAAACAATCTTTACTCAAAAGTTGCTCGAAGTAATCTTAATTGGTTACTTGACAAATCAAACGTTTAGTTTAGTGAAATTATTCCGTATCTACGAAGAACTCTACGTTTGTTTCAACATTGTACGATTCGTTGTTTGCGTCAGAATTTAGGATGAAATTTTATTCATGGTTTTACGTGTCGCGTAATATAAAAACATTAGAAGAATCAGATAAAGTATACATTAGGATTAGAATGTACATACTCATTAAAATACACGTCATATCAAATTACATAAGATTTCGATTTTAAAATCTCACGGGAATTAGAGATAGTTCAAAAGCGAGCTTTAATTATTTAAAAAAGGAGAAAAAATCGAAGAAAATTTAGGAACAATGTTCTCTGTGTAGGAACCCTCATTTCGAGGATCACGTCTTTATTTGTCGCGAATATGTGAACGTTTCTTGCGATCTCGGGCGTGCTTTTATTACCCGGATGAATTCGCGCGGTTCGGTCCGGAACGGACGTAAGGAAAGGGAGTACGCGACGACCTCGCGTGCCAGAGGCGCTCGGGGGAGGAACGCACGGGATTCACACGCACGTGCGTCGTGCATGCGTGGCGATGCGTGTAAGTTGGAGGGCGGCGGTGACATCGTGACATATAGCGACGGCGGAGGACGATCGTTTAGGCGACTATTAGCAGCTTCACGGGACGCTGCCTGTGTGCATCGTGTATAGCTCCTGTGTATACTCTCTTCTGAGATGAAAAAGAAGGAATTTTCGCGTTTTAGTCAATTTTAAGGCCATTGCACGTAACAATGTTTCAGTTGTAATCGTAAGGCCGTAAGAAAATAGACCAATCACAGTCGATTATTCTTCTCGCGCTTGAAGAATAATCGAATGTGATTGGTCTATTTTCTTACGGCTTTATGATTAAAACTAAAACTTTGTTACGTGCCTTTACGGTCAATCGCGAGCCGAAATGATGCGCGAAACTTGTTGCGTTCGTAACTATGTTATAGGAAAAAAAAGATAAACGAAAGGAATCTTTTTTTTTCTTTTTTATTAAGAGAGTAAAATTAATCGGTGAAAGAGAATTAATTATAACTGTTAATTTCGCAGAATAGATTAGTGTTGAATTCCTCTTAATTAAGAAATTATCTTTTTAAAAAAACTTATTCGTTTATCTATACTCTGTTCGCGTTCTCATATTCGAACGTAATCGTGTTACATAAATAAATAAAACCTAGCATTAAACGAACGACAGATAGCAAGAATTCATTATTACCTTCAAGTTATTATTTTTCTTTTTACGAATCGAGGTGTTAATAGCGATTATCTTATTATTTTATTTAGGACCGGCAAATCAGGAAATCAGTTTTGCTGGACGTGAGCGGCTGCATTTCTCTCGGGACAATTCCATGCCGAAGAAAGACCGAAGTAATTTCCTATTTTCCAACAGAAAAAGATGGAACGATAAAAAATCTATTTTCGATACACGCGTGGATTTTTCTCGCTTCGTCCTAATTCGATTATAGCAACAGAAGTTTAGACACTGCATGGCACCGTTAATGCACCGGTGAGCACAGTCGTTAAAAGTGGATTTAATTGAGCGTCGCGGAAAAAAGAAAATCGGTCAAACGAGCAGCCGAGAGTGTGTCGGGTATCGCCCGACCGATTTATGGTGATCCTCCCCGTAGAAAAGCGGGGTCATGAATTCCCCGATGGCTCGACAGAGAGAACTCGAAGAGAACTAGCGTCGAGAAACACGAATTCCTCCGCGTCTCGCCGCCTAAGAGCCAAGCTAATTATCCATCAACCACATTCGTTCCGCGAGTAAAATGTGTTCCTTTAGGATTATGTATATCGCACAAACAAGTAAAAAAAGGTAGAGAGTAAATAATCGAACAAAGTGAAATAAATTAAAACAATCGTTGACATAGCAGACTATCGGACGGCGCGTTACGCTGTTGTGTCGCGCGTAGCGATGAAAATAGACCAGCCGTTAGGGAGATCAAGAGAGATCGGACGCGGAAGCGTCTCGCGAGAGGAAAAGGAGATTTATCGATCGCTCTGCTCTTCCCATCCCCTTCCTCCTCTTTCAGGCATCATCTTTCCGGTCAGCGGCTTTTTTTTCTTCCGTGTGCGATAAGCAGAAACCACGGCGAGAGACGCGTGGCTCTTAAAGCGCGGCGGCGGCAGCGGCGCGGCGTCATGACGTGGACAATTTGTAGCAGAGTGTCAACGCGGCTGTTTCTATTTTCGAGTACGGCCGAGCTATCTTTTTCTTCTTCTGCATCTTCGTGTCCCCCTGTTCCCTCCCTCACCCTCCCTCTCACTCTCTCTCTTTCTCGTCGTCTACCTGCTCTTGTTTCTCCGACCTCTCCGTTCGCCCACCGACGACGAGGCCGGCCGCGAGCCGCGAGGTCCGCGTGCTGGTAGATGAGCGGATTATCGCGGATCTCCCGTCTCGTATCCCGCATCCCGCCTCTCTCTATCGGTAGCTTACGTTTTCTGCTCCTTTAACGTAAACACGCGGCGAACAGCCGCGTATTTTCGTTCCGCGATTTGTCAGGGGTTGGGAAAAAACGCCCGCTTAAAAAATGAACGCCCGCGCGGAATTGTTCCTGTTCGATAACTCGGTCCATTTTACGGGAAGCGCTGCGTCGCGTACACGAGAAAATTTCGTCGTAAACGCGCATTACGTTGAAATGTAGAGAAGCTCTACATATTTCATTCGACGCGTGGACACGGATGCGAAATAAATGAATATGTTGCACGAGAGTAATGGCAAAGCGTAATGGAGCTGACAGATTGACTCTGTCCGCGACGCGTTTTGGCATCGGTGAGAAAACAGACGGCCGTGCATCGTGAATGTCAGTCGAAGAAGTTGCAAATCGTGCTTCGATTAGTTTGTGATCGCGCGACTTGTTAACGTGGACAACATCCGAACGTGATAATTTTATGAGTAATCCTGGCGCCGGACACGTTTCAAAGATCATAATATCATTTTTCTTGATATAACTACTTTGATATTGAATTATATATAAACGTGGTTTATGCGACGTGTGTCTCTTTTTATCAGCAACCGTAGAAGATCAATGTTTATTGATATCTAATTGTAAATTATGGATATATGTTAGTCTCTCTCTAATAACATTAATATCTATTATAAATTTTATTTTATTTTGTCAACAACCTGAGAAGATCTGTTGATATCTAAATTATGGACATATAGTATCTAATAATATTAATATTAGAAAATTTCATTTTATTTTCTATTTTATATGTACAATATTTAAGAATGTAAACACGCGCGTCCAAGGATCGTAATAAAAGTTGTTTTTATGTACGAGCAAAAAAAAAGATCAGCGAGGAGCAATTCTTTCTCATTTCTTCATGTCTTTCGTAGTTATGAGACTTGTTAGTCTCAAATTTTTGTGCATTGTAACAAAGATTATTATTATTCTCGCGAAACGCCAAATGGATATGTCGCAGGAATTTCGTGTAATTCGTTACAAAATCTCTAAGGAATCCACAAAAAAATCGGGATATTGTGGAATGAATAAAAATTATAAATATAACGTTATATAATTATATTTATAATTATAAATACAGATTAATAAACATTTTTGCTCACAATTTCACTAACAGAACCTATAGAATTTTGCTAAATCACTAGTAAAATTGTGCAATTTTTATTTTTAATGGTGTAATTTTATTCATACCACAATATCACGGTTTTTTGTGGATTCTCTAGGAATTTTGCGAAAAAAAGCTAATTACACGAAATTCCTGCGACAGATATATTCGCACGCAATAATCCATGATATCGTCATAAGCGCGATAATTCGCCCGATCTACTGCGGCTCTTTCTCTCATTGTCGTTCCACCGGTCGGAAACCCGAGTTGCAATGCGCGTGCATGGCGTGCATGCGACAAACCCGGGGAGCTTATTCGTGCGTTTTTGCGATCGGGCGAGCGAGGCTCGAATTCGAGAACGCCGACCTCAGCGTCGTCGTTCCGCCGAGGATCTGCAACGAGTGCGTTTCAGCGCGTAAAAAAAACCGCACCTCCGCGCCGACGGCTGACGCACTCCGATCCGACATCGGCCGGAATGGGAGAATTATCGTTTTGATCGGTGCACACGTTATTAAAACAACGCGTCGCGCTTTAAATTCGCGTCCCGTACCACGTATAGAAACGTTCCGGATATCGGCGGAGTAATCACGCACGCTTGCGTTGGATGTTTACTTTACATTCAGCGACGTCGACATTTTAATTAATTACGACGTTAATATTTTAACATCGATGTTTTAAAATAATTATATTATAATTACGCTACATTGATTTTGTATTTTACATATGAGGGGAATGTTGCTTACCGGCAAACATGTAGGTCTATTTGAAACATGCAAATAAGAACGCGCGTGAAGAACAATATTGCGCAGTCAAATAAAAAAAAAAAATTACGATACATTAACATCGTGTTTAATCTCTCTATATGAAAAAAAAAATTGCGCTATTTCCTCGGTTACTCAGATAAGTTTAACTCTTCGCACCTCCTTTTCCTGTTGGCGTTAATAACGAGTATATTTTGCCTCAACACGCACGCCCGTTCCCTCTTTCGTGAGTGCACGGCCGGGCACGTACGGCTCGTGCTAACTGCGCCTCTTTGTTTTTCCCCCCGGCACCTTGTGACACGTACGAGTGTATCGATTCGACTCCGGCTTTTACGCACGCACTCCCGGCCGGCCCGAAAATCCCGAAGGAAAATGCAACGTGACGAATACGCGCAGCTGATGTCCAAAGTTGGAAATGCACGGCGCTTGTTTCTCGGCAAATTTAGGATCCCTTTCGCGCGAATGAAAGAGTTCATCGTCCGACATTCGTCACTTCTCAAAACAAATTGGATATTTGTGCTTTATATCCATCTATTAATAAGCTCTAAATTAAAACTCCGCTTGAAATCCGCTTCAAACTAAACGAAAAATAATATCGCGTCACTTATTTGTGTCTTCAAAATTTAATTAAAAAAAAAAAAAAAAAAAAAAAAAAATCCTGAAACTTGGACGCATAACTGGACTGATTAGCGTCAAGAAATCATTGCTAATAAATATTTTTTTATCTGCTCATTCTTAGAAATACGCTATACTATGCGTTTCAATAAATAAAAAAAATAAAATGCTTTTACTGTTTTGCGTTTAGGAACAAGGAAACGGAAAAACGTTCGCAATAAAACGGAGATAAGTACGAGAAATATAGGAGCACATATTATACTTCCCGTTATATTAACAATATATTTAACTTTTAATCATTCGCTAATGCCAACCGGAAAATACGCGCTGCGTTACCTTTGTTAATTCATGCAGTGATACAAACATACTTGCGCACAGGGATAAATTTTATAATCTTAATACTCGAGTCTAAACGACTCTCATCGTTTTCTTCTTTTCTTGGGGAATGACTGATAACAGAAGAAGAATGAAAGTACGATGGATGTACGCCATTCAGCTCCTGTTTCAACGGTTAATCTTCTTCGAGGAGATCATCATCGAGATTGACACCCTGGAACAGAAAATAATTCAGTTATTTTACAAACGTTCCCCAATACTCAAGCAAACTGCTACGGGATATGTATAATCATTGCGTTTACAAAAAAATTAAAAAATAATTTGGATTTTACATTCTCTCTCTCCCTCTCTCTCTCCCTTAAAATCATAAAAGCGAGAAATAACGAAACGCAGGTATTCCTAAATGCACCATCGAGTGAATGGAAAAAAGGAAGCAGAGCGTGACAAAACGTAGTAATGGTCGGAACCTTATAGTAGGAGGGGTACGGTTCGACTCGGGAGTCGTATGTTATGGCAACAAGTCTGTAAACAAAATGCGGCGTGACTGCCTCGCAGCAAACAAGCCCCCGAGGCCTTTCGCAAAAGCTCGCAGAGAAAAAGAGAAAGAGAGTGCGTACCACTGTTCTCCCTGCGTTCGTATCAGTTACACCGGGACCGGGCTTAATGATCTGTCGCCGATTTTCGCAATGAACATGTATGCACACCAGATACAGATACATTTTGATATAGATGAGGTTTGTATAAATCTAAATATGTATATAAATTCTTCTCGGGAGAGTGAGTTAATTTGCAAAAAATATATGCATTAATTTCACAGCGTCGTTAATACGAAATCACCTAAATAGACTGGGATGTTTTGCTAAGTAGATTAAACTGTTTCGCCATTTTTTGCATTACTGTCATTTACATTTTCATTATTTGCACCACGATTTATTGCCTTTAGCGACGCATTAATCGCGTTACACGTATATTTGCTCCATGATATATAATACATATATTGGAGTTATGTAAATAAGACGTGCATTTCGGTGTATTCTGCACGTGCATGGGATTTATGCATGTATATGGTATGTAGGTACGTCATGCAGCCCCTTTCTTGACGTGTTTTCGTAATGCTATACCCGTCTAAAGTTACGTCCATATTTAAGAGTATTAAACCGTCGCCTAATTGTACGCCCTCCAACTCTTATTTGTTCGCGCCTTTCTCGCTTTTGGCTTATCTTCAACGATCTTACGATTGCGAGGTTTGATGCTTATATTACAAGTTTTGTACATTAGATTATCGGTTTAAGGTAAAACAATTATTTTTAATTGTAAAACATTCAAAATGCTTCTAATTGTAAAATGTATGTCCTTCGAAACAAACGGAACAAGAAGAAACGAGACATATTTAGAGAACGGAGGCAGAGTTAACGCATCAAGAACTATTTTAGAAATATTACAAATAATATACCACACTCACTGTAGTATCGATATTATCGTCGATCTCCAGATCGATGTCTAGATCGTCGTCGTCCATCGTGAGAGGCCTGGCACTACTCGCGAGTTTCGTCGTTCCTTTCTCAGGTACTTCTGGCTTCACGGTGGACGTGGTTGCTTTACTTAAAAAATCCTTTATTCCCGATATTGAAAGATCTTGTAATCTGTCGACCATCGCTTCAGTCGGCTTCTCCTCGAGCTCGAAGATGCTGTGAATACCCTGATATTGAAATGCGCCCGACTGCTCGGCGGCCAACATCTCCTCCAACGGATTCCGCTCGACATTAGACTATAAAATTAATACATGTTTAGTCATACAATTTCTTTGTAACGCATCTATACGTAATAATAATACGTATACGCAAATATATATTATATTCTTTAAAATATTTTATGTGATTATTTAATAATCTTTGTTTCGTAATGACACGGCGGATAGCTTTGTCGGCGAAACGCAAGATTTATCGGCAAGCGCGAGATCGATTTTATATAGTTCTCTCGAGCTGTAACTACGCGATAACAAAGATGCGGGGACGCAAGATTTTTTTTTATTATCAGTAACGAGCGTGACCCGATTTTATCACGTGATTATGAGTACCTCTATAAAAATATTATTCAACTCCTTCACGGCGCTTTTGTTGTTATTATACTTGTCGCTCGAGATTGAGACGAGTACCAGATTCGTCTCAGCGACAGTCAGCGAGACGATTTGCGTCGTATTAATGCGATTACAGTTTATTGTTTTTCGATCAATCGGCTTAACGCGTTACTAATCGCGTATCTCGACATTTCATTTCGAGATCCATTTCGATAACTGAGATTCTAATATTTGATTCTTATCAACGATACGTTAATATCGTTAGTATTTATAAATAATACGATCGTACCGTAACGGTAGGAAATGCAGAAGCTGGAATCTTTCTCTTGCTTTCTTCCCGCAAGAATTTTTCCACCTTCAGGGCTTCTCTGTATCCGGGGAAAAGATTCTCGTACTGCTCGGGATCCGCCAAACTCTGTCCGGCTTTCTCGCTCACCGCCGACAGTTTCTCCTTCCACAATTTGATGATAGAGGAGATTTTACTGGGCGCGTATGTCCTGGCGAAGAACGCGGCCTCGGGAATTCTGTCCGTCTTGATTAGGATGTCAAGACACTTGTCCACGTCGCCCAATATGAAGTTCGACAAGAAGGAAATATTGTTCTTTCCCGTTTCGTCCGCTACCGCGCCAAGCTTCTGTATCATATCCGCGTTTCCCGTGCTGGTAGCTAGCAACAATAGGCCACCGAAGTCTTGCGCTTGGTGCAGGCATTCTTGCGCCAAACAGAGTTTTCCCTTTTGCGTGGCGAGGGACGCTAATTGCCGCCATTTCTGCTGGCTGTTCGCTTCCTTGGCGAGAGTATGCGCGGTTTCGAGATTTCCTAGTGCGAGCGCTAGCTCGAATCTGTGCTCGGGATCCGTCGATACCGCTAGAGCTTGTTCTTTGAAACCCTGTAAGATGAAAACAAAGATAAAAACAGTTTTCAATAAATCATAATTAATGCAATAATATATATATCGCATTAAATTACACACCTGTTTTTCTAAGAAGTGAGCTACTCGCGTTCGATGTTCCTTCGGGACCGTCGGCAATACTCTATTGGCAGTTTCAAAATCTTTTCGCATAACCGCAGTCTGATATTCTAGCACTGATAGGAGCAAGGCGTACGATACGACAGACAGTTCCTTATCGCAAAGGTATAATCTATTGTCTCTCGGTACATATCCCAGCAGATACATCGGTCTGTCCAGATGAGAGACAGTGACCACTTCGCCGCCGACGAAGTAATTAACGCGATTGACGCTGTTAGTATAGATGAAACAGTCGCCGACCCATAAACCGGTTTTCACCACTTCGCTCATCTCCGCTACCATCTAAAAATATTATTTAAAACATTACTTAAAACTGGACGATAAAAAATACACAAAAGCTTGCTAAAGCAATTAAGCATACAAGCGTACCTCAAATGCATTTTCAATGTCCTCAGCGTTTTCTGTGGCATTACCGACAACATCCGCCTGATATTTCAGTATAAAATATTGATCTGACGTGGCTAATGCCACCAGCGAGGCATTCTCTGCCCAATACACATGCGTAGGTTGTATGTCTATGCGACGGATCAACTTTAACGTGTCCCAGTCAAAGAAGGAGAGCCCAGATCCGGACGATACGCCGAGTAAAAATCCACCAAAAATTCCTGCAAGCGACAACGATATATAGGAGTCAAGTCGGCACGAAGAGACGGAGAGATAAAAGATGTGTCGTACCGTCCGCTCCGAAATCTGGCTTGAAGCTTTTCTTCTCCTTGAAGTTCTTGAACACCTTCACCGTCGTGTTGCTCTCCCTCACTGCGTATTGGCTCGAGTCCGCCGCCCACACGAATTCCGACGCCTGTCCGAACGCCTTGTTTCTCAGTGCCATTGACGTGTATATAATGTACTCCCCATCGCCGCAGACCACCAGGAATCGACCATTCGGATTGTGCTGTATGGTCTGCGGATATATCTCGCAGGCGCCCATATCTTTGACAGCCAACGGCAGCCGCTCTCCGTCCTGCGCCTCCTCGCCCAACGCCTTTAAGTTCACCTGCTGGATCTCGCTGTGACGTGCCCACACGATCTTTCCGCCAAGCGAATCCATCGAAACGGCCGGTTCTTCACGGCCGACTTTTACCATAACGCTACCCTCGTCGTACCCAATGGCAACGTTGTTCGAGCCTCGCATGCACGCTATGGTCCACACTCTTTCGAAACCGTAGTTGAGGGAGGACTCCAATCTGTACGTTCCCGCGTGCCATATTCTGACGGTACCGTCCTCCGAGGCCGTGAGAACGATCGGCAATTCCGGATGGAAACACACGGCGGAGATGTTCTGCGTGTGGCCCTCCAGTGTCTGTACGCAGGTCTTATTCTGATAATCCCATATCTTGACGTATCTGTCGTCGGCACCCGATATCAGATACGGCTTGTCGCCACCGTGGTAATAGTCTACGCAATTGACACCCTTCTCGTGACCCTCCAAGGTAAAATTAGCTGTGGGCGAGCCGAGCTGCCACACTTTGACAGTTCTGTCCAGGGACGCGCTGGCGAAAGTGTTGTTGTCCTTTGGATTAAATACGATCTGCATGACGTAGTGCGTGTGACCCTCGAATACTTGCTGGCAGATCCAGGACTTCTCCCAGTTCCACAATTTTATCCACATATCATCTACATAAGAGAAACATTGATATATTGTATATAAAATATAGGAATGAGCATAAGCTTGGCGGACAAACGGGATCGTCGTCTAACCTACCACTGCTCGTTAGTATGAACGGCTGTGTCGGATGTACGGCTATACATCTGACGTAATCGCTGTGAGCCTCAAACGAATGAACGCGCTCCAAAGTGTTGTAATTGAACACTCTGATCTGCATGTCGTCGGAGCCGGTGATGACCCAGTTCTTGCGCGGCACGAACTTGGCCGTCCTTACCGGCAGATCGCACACCTCGAACGTCTTCACCAGGGTCTGCGTCTCGTGGTTCCAGATGTTGACGTTGCCCTGATACAGCGAGCACAGCATCCACGGCTCGGTCGGGTGAAGATCCACGCTCTTCACTCTGTCCGACCTGGCCGTCAGCTTCCGCTTGATGTCTAATCTTAGAGGCTAAGGGAAGAGAATCCTTGGATTTAGGGTCTGTTGTTTTTTTATTGCTGAAGTGCCTGCGCCAGTTCAGAGCTTATATCTTCTTTACTCCGCGTTGGAGAGACAAAAAAGATAAACTCTGAACTAGAACTAAACTCATACAATTTATTGCGCGACGAGATCCATATTGTATGCTTTTTTTTTTTAATTTGCCGTGCCATCAAGATTGTCATTCTACAGTGGTTTTTCAAGTCAAACGTTACGTTTGAGGTTCGTGTTAAATTTAATTTTCCTCTCGGGGAATTCGCGCGGAAAATAAACGAGACGCTTTTCGCGCGAAGAAGCTGGTTACGTTAAGCAAATAAATTTTTCGTCATCCTGAGAAGGGAGCGGTTTTGAGAGATGTTTTGACGTGTCTCGAGAACAAATGTCAACGCGTCGAGCGCACGAGTAGTGTTACTCCGAGTATTGTTGCGAGCTGCTGACTCGCCCGCTCCTCGCATTGCCGCATCGTTACCGTCTCTCTACGTACCATCTTGTTGCCGTTGATTATTCGCCGCGACCACCGCGTATCGCAAGTATCCAAATTATCGCCGTGCTTGTATTAACGGAGCCCCATACACGATACTCCTGCCATGAAGTTGAGACGTGGCTTGTGCCACGAGCGAAAATGGCGCCCGCGCACGGCGAATGACGTTACTCATCCAAATTCTGCGCGATATCGTTTGAGCGCGTGATCTCGAACTGTCTTCAATTATCGACAAAACATTATTAAAGATAATTATTAATTGTATATTTCGTTAGTATAGAGGGTGAACGTCAAGTTTGCCCTAAAGAAAGTAATACTTTTGATATTTAGAATAATTAGATCATGCGAGTGTGCATTGAAAAGAAGACTCGCTCAGCAGATAATATTGCACTCGATGGATAATTGATTATTCTTGTATTGGTAATGCAGATAATTATCTGTTGTAATCATCTGTTGATAACGTAGCTATTTATTTGTCGATAATGTAGATTATGCTACAGCAACACCTAAAAAAATAATTAGTAAAAAAATCTTCAAACTAAGGCAGAAGAGATACATACATATATCAGGAATAAGAATAAATGTTAAATATTAGGAATCAGAATTAGAAAAAACTGTACTTAAACGTAACGCGCAATGGAAAAGAATGAAATATAAGAAATAAATATAGAAATATTTTTACATTAACATAGTCTAACGTTTAATATTTATTACGGGAATATTCCTATATTTATATATCTTATATAATATTTCATATTTATTCTTATTCCTAATATACGCTCTACTGTGCAAGGCTTAATAGACCGCGACATTCCATCACGTCGCGTCTGTTTATTTTCATTTTTATGTTTTGGTCTTCTGTTCTTTTTGTTTTCAATGTACCAAATGGGAAAGTTACAATACAAATGAAACTACAGCTTTATTAATATTTTGTTGTAATTATACATAATAATTTAACAAATAATTATAAAATATTATTAAGAATAAGTTCTCTCTCTTTCTCCCGTTCTCTTTTCATTGCTTTCCGTTCTCTTCCATCTTTACTTCCTTTGCCATTACGTCGACTTTGCGTCACGTTTTTGGACGCTGACTAATTCGCCGATAACAGACGTATTACGCAAAACACGTTTATTCATGACGTGTTTTTACGCGACAAATTATTAATTTACATGACAGATCACGTTTAAATCAACGTGGACAAATTGGCGGCGGAGGATCAATAATGACGCATTGTTACGATTGATTTCGCTAGCGTTGCCTGGCAGTGACACGTTTTCGATATTGAATTTCCCTGATTATTACGACGGGAGAGGAATGCGTAACAATATAAGCAATCGAGAGGAAAAAAATAAAAGCGGCGCAGCAGGTGCACGAGCGGACATAGTTATAGTTGCGACGGCTTCTTCAACGTTCGAAACTGCAATCTGCACTCGCAGCATATAATGTCGTTTTCACTTGCGCGCTACGTTCTTCTTCCTCTTCTTTTTACCGGTAACTCAAATTTCATTGATATCTCTTCGCCGAGTTTAATACGAATTTTATCAATTGATCTCATGCACAGATATATATTTCTCTCCGATAAAATACGAAAAAGATACGAATCAATTTGCAGAAAAAAAAAACTAAAAATCTTACAGGAATGCACGATAGAGTGGGACTTGCGCTTAACTTGGACGACAAGATGGCATTATATCAGAACTGTACGATTTTCGACAAACCGGATATATACGGCGGTCCGATATGCGGCGACGACGGTGTGACGTACGCTAATAGTCTTTACTTAGATTGTAAAAATCATCACAGCCGCGAAACCGGTAAGTTAATCTTTCTTTTTCAATTAGAAGAAATTACTGACGATTACTTTAAAAATTATATCATAATTCTTGAATTACAATGAGATGTTAATATAAGTCGTGCTTTACAAATATACATATAATACATTATGCGTTAATCAAAAGCAAAGTCATTAATTTCTTAAAATATATTAATTTTCATATATTGACAGAAATTAACGACATGATAGTAATGCGTTAAAAAATATTAATCACGTTGTCTTTTGAAACGATAATGAGATGTTGATGAATTAGAAATACATAATGCAAGTCTTGCAAAGAGGTTTGCACGAGTAAAAAATACTGTTCGACATTTTTTCTAATAATAAAGTAAAATTCTTTACAGTTACCACGTTGCATGCCGGTCCGTGCTTGGAGAACGAAGAATATTGTAGCGTCAATCTGTATTACGAGCCAGTTTGCGGCTCAGATCACAAGATTTACACTAATACGCAATCTCTGCTATGCGTTCGTCAGAGGCAATCGAGAAGTAAGTACCTGGCGATATTAATCGTCTCGTTTTTCACACGTATATTTAATATTTGTTGACAAAGTTCGGACGCTAACTTTAATCTGCGTCGTAACGTTTTTTTCCGTATTTTTTTTAAATTTCCTGAATTTATTAAAAATTTCTGTTTACCAAGAGAAATATCTTTCAGCGTTTGCCTTATTATGTTGCATTTCTTGCTGGCTATATATACATAGATAATTTAAGAAGCCTTGATTCTCTTAAAAATCCGAGAGATATATTGATATTTCGATGGATCGTATTTTTTTTGCAAGGGTTCACCGCACATCTGAATTTTTTTTCGTGATCCGTTTCAGATTTGACAGCCGTGCCGATGACGGAGTGCAGCCAGGACGATGACTGTTACCGTGGCGGCACCAAATATTACGGGGTGAATCCGGTCTGCGCCAGTAGCGGATTCACTTATCCAAACGCGGCGCAGCTCAAGTGCCTGCAACGATATAATCCCGGTAAGGGATTACGACGAAAGTTACGCGGAAGCGTTTAGTTATGATTCGCCTAATTGCCGGCAAGTAGTCGGAAATAACGCTCAAACTCCTCCGCTCCGCGCCGCGCCGCGCCGCGCCGGTACCTTCGCGCTCTCTTAAGTCTCGCGACGCGACGGTGCTGAATTAATTTAGAGTCCCCGCTTTGAACTAAATGTTTCGTCGGCACAACCCGGTTATCCCTCTGCGGACGATGGATTACGATTTACATCCGAATCGAGTTGCCCGTCGCCGCGACGGCCATGCGGATTCAAACGCGATTTTCTATTAACTTCATTAATGCACGGGACGATCGTAGCGAAATATAGATACCGTAATTTTATCATATACGAAATTAATCAGAATATGCGCGATGAAAATAAACGCGACACTGAGATCATCTTTAAAGTATAAGAACTAAAGTGATAATCGTAAAACTAAGTTTAAAATTTATAAATACGAAAATCACACGAAGAATTAATCGTTGAAAAATATCGTGTGCGAATCGCATTTTATTGTATGTTTGATTAATCTTGAAGCACACAGCGTCAGAATCTATTTTATTTTTCTAGCGTTGCAAATTATTCACGACGGCGGTTGCCGGGTGGAATTTGTCCATCAGCTTTACGGCGCGGCGGTTTGTGACCTCGCGAAATCGAGATATGAGTGGAATCCGGTCTGCGCGTCGGATGGAGTCACTTATCCAAATCCTTTTATCTTTCTTTGCTATCAGCCACGTACGTAATAATATATTGTAAAAGTATCGACAAAGAATTTTTACAAATTTTCTTGACGGATGCTTGTGTGAGTTTCGAATCGATTTTCTCCAAATGATTGTTAAAATACTGATAAAATTTCATTTTATATAATTGTAAATTATAGTAAGTTAATTTAAGCATAATCAATCTGTACGACAAAAAATTTACTTTTATTTTGTTCAAGATTTGAGGTAACTTTTATTGACGAATATTCAATACAAAAATTCACTAATTGTAAGCAGATTTTGCTCGTTTTAATAGAAATTTTCATTTATTGGTCAAAGAATATAGAAATAATTTTTTTATGCAAAAACTATTTAATTATTTACGTTATGTGGTTTGTTAATGTGTTTCTTCATTCTTCAATAGTAGTTCAAAGTCCGCGAACCGTTTATATTTTAATTCGAGGAGTGTAGTTGTAGTTTGCTTTTTGATGCAGAAAGTCTGCGAATATGTAGCTTACTTTCTTTAATTCAGATTTAACAGTAATTTCTAACGGGGAATGCGGCACGCACAGCCACGAATCCTGCATTGAGGCGCACACGAATACGACAATTTTGCCAAACGGCGAATACGTGAACGACGTCTTCACCGCGGACGACCAGGTTTGCGGGAACGACGGTCGCACGTATCAGAGTACACATCACTTGCAATGCCACACTCGTCACGATAAATGTGAGTCTTGCATCGTAAGAGAGACGGAAAGAGAAAAGAACTCGACGCTGGACAATTTGCCATTTCCAAACGCATCCAAGTGTGTCGGTTCAATTGTTCAAATACATCATTGATTATCTCTTGAAAAATTCAGTCATTTCAATTATGCTCGAATTATTCAAAAAATATTCGAGGATTGTTTCAATTTCGGTAAAATTTTTGTATACGAAGCGATAGTATAACTTTCACGATTTTCGTGCGAGCGAAAGTTTAGGAAACAAAATCGCTGTACTCCAAGATTTACGTTTTCCATTTCTCATCGTTAATTTTTCACAAACTTGAATTATTACACGAGGACAATGATATCATGCACATCCCGCAGATGTGTTTCTGAGGCATCACGGATCGTGTTCCGGACCGGATGACTATCCTTGCGGTTCGGTACCGGAAGAGGAGCACAGACAGCCGGTGTGCGGCACCGACGGCAGGTCCTACGTGAGCCCGGAGGCGCTGTGGTGCGCTAAATTACGCTCCCCGGAAAAAGGTGAGGTTTGTAAATCATACAGTGAGTCTATGATAAATCCCCGGACGAATTCCTGCCATATCGTAATGCTCGCGTTTGCGTTCGCGCGCAAACGAAGGTATATTTTCACTCGGGATCCTCTTCGCTCATTAACTTGCTTACGCCGCGTAAAATTACGCGCGCGCCTCGCGGTAATTTCGGTTTTGTCTCGTTGTGCAGACGTGGATTTTCGACATAACAGGAAAAACGCAATCTTACAGCAATTTTCGGAGCTATCTGAGCTACATCTTTGTTACGTACGCGAAAGTGTCCTGGGCGCCGTGACGCCTCGCGCGCGTCAAACGGCGGAAGGAGCGATCCCGCGCGATAAATTCTATTGAGCGTGCAAAATTACGTCATAGAACAAATCGTGATATTCGTGTGCATGTGACGTTGACGACGTCGATTAAGATCATGTCCCGTGCATTCTCGAGTGTTGCAACGCGACGATGTGGAGAATGTAGGAGAGATATCGTTTATACTTCTCTCGAGACAAAAGTGTTCCTCGATCGATAGACCGATGGAACATTCAAAGCTGAATAACGAGACGTACTCCTTTTTGTAGATATTGCTTACAGGCACGACGGTCCATGCTAACGAAGACATTGTCAGGAATTATGCGGAAGAATATCAAGCGTGGAAGAAGTTACATTAATACGGTCGAAAAGTGTCAAGAAACTTGAACCATGTGTGGGAAAATCAAAAGCTTTCACCAAGTTCAAACGATGTACAAATAAGAAATAGAAAGACTTTTACATGAAACATGAACTGTATAAGAAAATGACTCTATATTAAGAACAGAAAATATCAATGTATATATATAGGTATGTAGAAAATATCAATAACTTGTAATTATATCGCTCTTTAGGAATAATTATATTTATTTTTCCTATTTATTCTTATTATAAAAAAGATTTTGACTGGAGCGTAATTTGATAATAAATACGCGATACAAAATTTTTCTTAAGTAATCTGTTAATCTTATGTTATATTATACATTAAGAAAAATTTAAATGTAAACTAGTATAGAAAATTTAATTCTCTCGACTACATCTCGATTCCTTTTTAAATTTTCAAACCTCTCTCGTGTGCATGGCAAATGTTAGAGAGAATCGATAAGACCATAAATACACCGAGGACACTGTTCATTTGTTCAATTGTGAATACTGGTGAGCGTGACCTTTTTTTTTAATTAAGGAACATAAATAAAGATAAGCTTTAGCACTCGCTGTCTCGTTCCAATTGTATCAAACGTATATGAGTTTGTCTTTCATTCTTCTTATTATTCAATTATTATTTAAAAATTACATTGTACCTCGCTTCCATTTACCCCTAAAAGTTTATTGTACTATCGCCCGCAAAGATGTGTATGTATGTAGATGTATATGACGTGCAAATGCATGTGGGTGTCCGCAATGTATCGAGCTCGGGTCGGCGGGTTCGCTAAGCCCAAATGACTATGCGGATCAGTCATCCCTGCGGGATGTGCGCATGATGCAAGGTAATCTCGTAGAACGTCATCTATAATTTATCTGAACGGTGCAGTGTTTCCACGTAACGCAACCGCCGTTCCGAATAGAGATAGAGTGAGACGGAGAAACAGATGTTATTTTAAAAAGGTTAAGGTCGTCTTCAGAGCTATTTTTTGAACGATTGCCGCGGTCCCGTAAAAGATACCGCGCAAGACGAAATGCAGGCGGAGGAAGAGGAAAACGAACGATGAGTAGCGACAGCGCGTTACATTATAAAGACGTGTGAATAATTTATAACGCTCACCTCACTTTTAACAGAAATTCTTACCGGTTTATTCGATAGAGAGAGTATATCAATTTCGCATCGATCTCTTATCCGCTATGTATAATAACGCGTTATGAAATATATCAAGAAGAATCATCCTGCTTTGATATTGAAAATTTAAATAGCAATGGGCAATTTATAATACCATTCTTTTGTTATATCTTAAAATAATTTTAATAATTTGAAACTAAATTTTGATTACTACTTTTGCATAAACTTTTCTGTCTATATTTCATACAAAAAGAGCACGAAATAATTATATGTTTTATTCTAAACCTTCAGATTTAATAACGGTATTTTAAAAAAGTCGCCTTATTTTAAAATAATATTGTAATAAGTATAAAACACACACATTTACCGAAATAAAATGTTTTTTTTATTAAAATTTTACTTGATATTAGCAATTTTCAATGCTATAGATAAAACTCATTTTTACTTTATATAAAATATTTTTCTCTTTTTGTATAATGTATTATTTGTATAAATGTGTCATTTTCATGTCATTAACAATTTTTCACATTATTAATTTTCTACTTGTATTAAACATATTGAAATACTTATTTTATTAGATAAATATCGATCAATATGTAATTGTTATTAATTTTCTATATTTCCTATTTAAATAACTGTAGAAATAAAAAATGTCTTTGCCAATATTAAGAACTAAGTTTAAAGTGAAGAATAATAGATAAATCGTAACTTCTCGAATAACTGAATGTACGCGAATATACGTTGCATGACTGAGAATAAAATTCTGTACGCTGTAATTTCACAATGAGTCAGATATAATTTTTATTTTCTTCCTACTGATTTTACGATCTTAACGTTCGTGCGCATAATGCGGTCAGGTATGAGAACCCTCATTGCAAAAATTTTCCTCGGGATCATTTTGCTTGTATTACGTCAACGAGACACAATAATGTTGTAAGGTGAATTTTTCTTCAAACAATTTCTGTCAGCACAAATAAATGTCATGCTAGAATTAATATGTTTCATTACTTCCAATTAATTAATGTTTTATTACACTTGTGTTTACAACGAACTGTAATTAAGAGACACATGTTTCGTGTCAAATGCACATACGAGTAATTTTTCTAGACTTTAAAAAAAATCATCGTTTTAATTTATAGCAACAAATTTTAGTATTATATATGAAATTAACCTTTTCTCGCATCCTTCGATGAAACTGAGCAGTTTTGACGACACATGATTTAACTTTATTCTGACGATAATCGATAGAAAAATTCCATATTCTGCGTATTTCATGAAAACGCGTCTATGACTTGATGTCGATAACATACAAACTAAACGTCTATCAATAAACGTATACAGATGACTGCCTTTAAAACTTTACTTTTTAAGACTTTATAAACTTCAAAAAATAGAGAAAAATAATTACGTTTTTATCGCGTTTAAGTATTTATAGTCCGATTTTATTTCACGACCATTTTAAGTAATGTCTTAAAATGCTGATACGGCTCTGTGACTGGTTCATGACATCCTTCAAGATTGTACTTAAGATGTTATGAACCAATCACAGAGCCGTATTAGTATTCTAAGACATTACGTAAGATGGTCGTGAAATAAGATCGGACTATAAATACTGGCCTATGACAGTTTGATTTACTGAATTTACCTAATTCGGATATGTTTATGCGCGAGGAATCACAGTCAATTTGACACAGGGTCGTGCGAAAAGAAAAGACGAAAGAGGCCGAGTACTGGCGTCAAGGGGGGGAGGCGCAAAATTCATGCTATGCCCCGGGGATAGTTTCCTCTGCGCACGGACCTGCTTTGACATCCGACATTAAAATAAACAAAATGTTACCAAACAAAGGAAAACGGTTACAAGTTAAACCTAATACTGCTCCTTCGTGAAGCGAGTTTAGACAAAGATCTATTACCGCAAGTCATTTACAAAGGCTACAACTCGATTCCCTAAAATGGATTTTTCAGTATTATCTCCTACAGATCCACACTCTTTTGCGAAACCAGGTATTTCAATTATTTAATTAACTACATAAACATAATATATAAAATATTAAGTTTACTTACTTATTTTCTTTTTGAAGAAATAGAATACGGTTTATATTATATATTTGCGGAAATTATTAATACGTTTGAAAGACAAAACTGCTGCATATATCCTTAGCTCTTTAGCAATTTATAATTCTCAAAATTAGATAATTTTTTCACAGTTTTAACTAACTGACAACATTCTGCGCACCTTCTTGAACATATAAAATATATTAAATTTACAATGAGCATAAAAGTATAAAAATTGTTTGTTTAGAAATTTTAGAAATAATACTACACACAATTGTATAATAATTTTATAATTGCAATATATATTATTTTTTGTCATATACTTCCTCAATACATGTATATATCATTGCCTATTATTCATATTTTTTAATTTCTGTATCTTTCTAATTGTAAGAAGAGGCACGTGTAAAACATATCGATTTAGAATTGAACGTGGATTTTTATGGAAAAGTTCTCAAAGGAAAAGCAATTTTGACTATAGAAAGGAAACCTTCAGTTAACCAAATAGTAAGTAAATATTTTCTTCCATATCGAACAATAATTTTGTCTGGTGTTAATATGTAATATTGCATGTGTAATATTTATAGATTTTAGATTGCCTCGGACTTTTTATATCAGGTGTCACAGACATTGATGACAAACCATTAAATTGTCATAATATAGATGTTGATAGTGCAGCTCGTGGAAGTCCTATTAACGTACAGTTACCACAAGCTGTTGATATTATTTATAACTCTGAGTAAATATAAGATATTTTTTAGAATAGTACAATCACTAACAATTATTAATTTAGAAAGTTGAATACGCTCATAATACGTTATTTTTAGATATAAAATTCAAATTAAATATGAAACAATTTCAACCTCTCCTGCATTACATTGGCTAACACCTGCGCAAACTGCTGATAATTTATATTCCTTTCTTATATCTAACAACAAGGTAAACCGACTATATAAGGATATTTTTTTTTACATTAACATAGATTATGTAAAAGTCTCTGTTTTTTCAGCTAATATATGCTAGAGCATGGTTTCCCTGCCAGGATACCCCGTCTGTCAAATTTACGTACACTGCTAAGGTAAGAATTTAATCACAGGTAGTATTTGTATATGCATTCTCCGCATTGATTCATTTACAATATTTACATGAAAAGAATGACGTGCGATTGATTATTATTAATATTATTGATAAAAATAATAAAAATTTACGAGGAGATGGAATGCATTAGTGAAAAAATGAATCAATTGTACATTCAAACTCAAATCCCTAATATTTTCTTATAAACTTTTTATTTTAATTAAATTAAAATAAAGTATTTAATTTTTATTGACATATATTTCATGGTTTAGATTTCAGTACCAAAAGTATTTACAGTTCTAATGTCCGCTGTTTTGCGAAATAAAAACTCCGAAAATCCGAAATTAGACGTATATGAATTCTGTCAAGATAAGTCAGTACCATCTTATGCGGTCATTATTGCTGTGGGCGCACTAGAAAAAGAAGAAATTAATGCTTGGACCAGTCTATATGCCGAAAAAACATATATTTCTTCCGCTCGCTATACGTTCCGTTCAGGCATTAATACTGGAAGCATGTTGGAGGTTGCCAAAAGTTTGTGTGGACCTTATATTTGGGGTAAAACATCAACCAAACTTGTTGATATTTGTTTATTTAAATTTGTATATACATTAAATTTTAACTTTGCGTATTATCAATCCTCCCTTTTTGCTAATTGTTATTGTTTCTTGTTATATTACATTTAAAATGATATTTCTAGGTAGATACGATATATGCGTGCTTCCACCAAGTATCGCCGATTTTAAAATAGAATGTCCATGCGTGATGTTTATTTCGCCGATTCTACTGCCTGGAGATTGTTCTAATATCAGTTTACTTGCCCGGAACATCTCACAGAGCTGGGCAGGATGTTTAGTTACGTGTTCGAATTATGAGCATTTGTGGTTAAATAAGAGTTTCAGCATGTTCATTAGCAGAAAAATTATAAGCAAACTATTGATACAGATTAAAGATATGAACTCTTTTCTCAAAAGAAAAGGAATAGCCCATCTGCGATATAAGGTAAGGTATTAACTTTAATTAAATAAAAAAAATGAAGTAATAAATACCTAATGTTTCCAAATGAGAAAATCTTGCCATATATAAACAACAAACAAACAAACAAACACACATTCCTGCATTCTCACTGCAATATTTTCTGAAACTGTATGATAGATTAAAGAATCCACAAATGTCGCCCGGCCAAAATGCTTATTACCCAATTTGAGAGATTTGTTTCCCGTTATTGAAGCTACCGAATATGTGCCATATGGAAGGGGATGTATGCTTTTAGAGAAACTAGAAGATATGTTAGGAGGACCCTCAGTATTCGAACCATTTCTTAAATCTTATTTTAATGAATTTGCATTGAAGAGTATAAACACTCAAGATTGGATAAAATACTTGTATCAATACTTTTCTGACAAAAAGAAGGTAACTACTCTTTTATACATACAAACAACAGTTTCACTAGTATTCATATTTTTAGCATTTAAAAACAACGACTTCAATGATGTTTTCAGATGTTAGATGATGTTGCATGGGTCGTGTGGTTCTTTGATGACCCTCCGTCACCTAACATGCCGGAAAAGACCGCGTGGGAAGCAAAGTATTGCGAGTTAGTGAAAAAATGGTTCATATGGGATTGTCAAACCCATAATATACCTGATGCTTTAAGGGATAGAAATATCGATTTAAACTTGGAGAAATTTTTATTCTTATCCTACCTACATGTCCTACATCAATTTCGTGCAGATTTAATAACCGAGGAGAAACTAAAACGTATTTTAGAACATTACAAATTCGAGGAATACTGCGAAAATATTGCTGTAATGCGGTAAATATATATATCTTTATTCAGATTGATTCACATTTGCTTAACGTAAAGCGCATTTATTTCACAGGTTCTCTTGGCTGCTATTATGCATTAAAATTCGATGGGCTGAGAAAGTCGACTCAGCTTTGAACTTTGCTATTGAATTTTGTTCGTCAACTATTGCACGTCCTATATTTCAACAATTGTATGAATGGAAAGAAATGCGCGAACAAACAATCGATACATATAAGTGTAATAAAGTAAAAATGATATATGAAACCCAGAGAGAATTGGACAAAATTCTACATCTAAAATCATAATTATCTGGTTATCATTAACCTAATTTTCCGTTTTAACCACTAACTTGTTAGTAACTGTAATATAAAATTATTTATTTGTTATAAAAAAAAGTTTTTGAACTGTTTATGGAACAAATATGAGGGAAAAAATTTTTATAACACGCATTTGATCTAAGATATAATATCGTTGGAATTTAAGACGTTGTTTATTTTGTTTAAGTAGTTGCAGAATTAACAATTGAAGAGAGCTCGATTCGCTGTGATGCACGATAATTCCTGTTGGATCGTCAAAAAACTTTTAAATGTGAAAAAATATAAAATATATCTTTATACACATACAAAATATCTTATATAATTAATTAATCGTTACAGTGTAATCTTTTGTACGTAACATAAATATATCTGTATTTGTTTCTGAATTTCATGTCTTTTACAATGAACTACGTATTACTTCAAGTAAAGCATTATCTTTTGACAAAAAGATCGAATCATAAATATACGTAATTTTTTTATGTTAAGTACCTCCTTGATTAATTTACCATACATTATCATAGCTCACACTTCATCTATTTGTTAAAATATAATTATTATATATAGTAAAAATATAAATTCTTTTTGTGAAATATGCACGCATCTCTAATACCCTTTTGTGTGCTCTTACATAAAAATAAATTTCATAACGTGATTTAAATTTTACGATATCTATCCAGATATAATTTTTCAATCAATTCTAGTTTATCTTGCAAAGTCCGGTATTTATTTTTTGGAGCACCATGCTATCGCATGATTTTTCAACAACTATAACTCCTTCTCTCTCTAATATGACTTAGACGCGATGGTAATTGTCTATTTTGTTGATTAAATGATTTGTCTATTTTCACGATTTTTCGCACACAAATTGGTGGCTGAAATGGAAGCCCCGTACCTCGAGCATTATTTCAGGACGTTAGTTTTCAACGTCATATCGTCACCGATTTAAATGAATGAATCCTAACAGTTCGTCGCGCCACGATGCGTTCGGAAGTGCCGTTAAGTAATCAGAAAAAAGGACTTCTTCAGCCTTTTTTTAAATATGAAGAAAATATTTACATGTATGTAATTAAAGTGTACGAGTCTCGCATTCGACGACAGTTTGACTTACTAAATTCACCTAATTTAAATATGTCTCTGCGCGAGGAATCACAATAACATTGACGTTCTAATAAACAGAGTTGCCAAACAAAGGAAAATAAGTAGGAGTTAAAACTAACTGAGGCTCTCAGTGCAAAAGAATATTTTGAATTAAATAGAAAATAATTTGAAGTAATAAAAATAATATGAGAAATAAGAGGATATAAAAAAAAAGTTGAATTTTGACATTACGTAATTACAAAGCTGTTACGTAAATTTCTCATCGATGTTTTTATTGCCTCAAGGCCTAAACAAAGTCTTCTTTTAAAATTAAAGATAGTTATCCTAAAATATAAATGTATGTTGTTCTATCTAGAAATAATTAATGACTATTGAACTCTATACTCAACTCTATATTATCTTCATATCTACATTAACGTTCTTACATCAGTATCTTTCTTATAACCATTTATTTTACTTTCAACATGTCAATATAACTTTGTCAAAGATTTTTATTAGATTAAGTATTACAAAATATCGGGTTTTTATATTAATATACGTACATTAAATAAATACGCGGTAAAAATACAGTCTTATATTCATTAACATATGCATTCTTTGAACATCGTGACATACTTCTTATGATATTTTTAATTCGCACAATAGCATTTTTTTTTTGGTAGCGGCGATTATCGCACAGCTGTACTTTTCCTCAGAAATGTTCACAATCCCATGCCTCCGATAATTAATTTCTATATTGGGCGAAATCGCTTAGTGTGCCGAGCAATTAAACGCGTGGGATTGCGTATAATTATCACATCAAGATTGGTTTATTATGGTTCTAGAAGACAGATTATCTCCTCTACTGATCTACTGATCTCTATTGAAGAGTCCTTTTCTTTTTCAGTCCTATATTTCAGCGTTACAACCTTCACTTTTTACTACAAACTTGCAACTATACGGTATCATGCACGTCCGTGATACAGCTAACGAATAGAGATATCCTTTTGACGGCTTCAAAGGATCGTTAGTAGAGATTTAGCGCTCTATTTATGTTGCGCATTTAGCGTTAAATGTAGATATTCGAAATCTTGAGTTTCACTCATTTAATAAGACGGTTGAATTATCGAGATGTCAAAATATAAATGTTGACGTCACCAATAGATATTGATTAATATCTATTTTGCATCAAGAAACAACACTTAAAACGGAAATTAATAAAATCAATTTTGTTACGTACTTTTAGAAATAGAATAAAAAAGTGTAATAAAAGATTCAATTAAATTCCGCGCGTATATTGATGATTGGTATTCTGATAATTACGAGTGTGCCGTAATTTAATTGACGATTGAATTTCGTTTTTGCGATTTATGAAAATCACATAACTTGATTCTTCTCCAGAATGCAAAGCCAAATTAAAATCAATTGTATATTTGACAATATTCGTATATCTCAGTTTTAGATTATAATATCGTGATGTATATATTACTTCAGATTGTAGAAATTACACAGAATCAACACTTCTTTCATTAATTGTAAGATAAAAGGATTTCGGACAGCATTTTGCACATGTGGCGTATAAGTACTTCAGAGATAATCACATGTATCGCGAGATAACAGATGAGTATAGCTAAATTTAGCGTTAAAAATGCGGCGAGAAAGTAGACCTAACGAATTGTTTTTCCAGGTAGACGATTCTAGTGCGAAAAGTCAAGTTTTCCAGAAATGATCGGAAGTCAAAGCACGCCTTATTCGCGAATTATCTTTCGTCCGATCGTCAAAATGTCATAAGCCACGTTCTAGTCTTCCATTTCACTCGCGGGTAATCGCACAGCGTGATTGCGACGCAGGGTAACAATCGGAAATTTTTGTCAATCAGTCTACGATCCGATAGCTATACCGATAGAGGAAATTGCGAAACGATCGTAGCTGCGCGAAAGCAGACGATGATCAAACGAAGGAAGGGGGGAAAAGAACGAAAGAGAGAACGTATGATTGTCCCTTCGCGGATGAACGGTGGAAAGATGCACGACCCGTCTCACCAGATCCGGTGCTGCGATTAACGATGAGAACGGATTTTCTCACGAGGCCCTGACACATTCCCCTGGTGGCCGGGCAGCCTTATTCTCTCACGTATATGGAATATGGAATGGGTCGAGGAAGATTGCACGTGACGCGTTTTGTCGTAGATAAGCGTACGATAATGTACCACGACAGATGCATCCTGTTTCCGTACGAGCGTGATGTCTTACGCTGTGAGGGACCAGTGCATAAAATAGTAACTTAGAAAAGTATTCAACTCCAAAAGGCTTTTAAATTAAATGTAAATTTTTACAGTTTCAATTGTTTTACATTGCATAATCTCAGAGCAATATGCTAATTAACATGGATAATAAAAAAATGAGACGCGACGTTCTAAATTCATAAATAAAAATCAGTTAAAAACTAATCAAAGATTTTGCACAGAAAGAAAATCTTCTCATTTTGGGATACTGTCTATATAATTTCAATCTTAATTTTATTTATTGTTTGGTTAAGTACATTACATAAATTATTTAATCAGCTAAATTATATAGAAACGTATAATTTATAAACGTTTTAAAATTTTCTAATATTAATATTAAAGAAGTTATTTTAATAATTTTATATTTAATAATTTAGTGTTTTGAGTGCATTTTTGCGTAAATTTTTTTTATGGATACAAGCATGCTGCAAGAGTTTACAACACGTCAGAAGATAACTATGTAAATACAAAACGCGCACAAATGATGGAAGCATACCTAAATGATAATAAACCGTGTTAAGTGAATTACACGCTGATTATGCGCGCACAGCCTCTGCATTTAGAAGTTTACGTGCGATTTATCTAGATACCGTAACGCAATTGTGTTTTATGAGTGTAAGAAATAAATAACCTCTTTTTACTGAAATGATTAAATCTTTAACAATGTTATATCATTTTATTACAAGCGAGCGTTTAATTACACCGTTTATCATACAAATTTATACAAAAACATTTTTATGGCCACGTGTTAGACTCATCTTTCATTCTTTATTTAAATTTAAGATCAAGCTTTCCTATCCTGTAAACTTAAAGAAATAGTTAGTAAAAATTTATGCTGAAAAGATTAGAGGATAGAAATAATCGCGAATAAGTTTAAGTTGATAATAAATTTAAATTGAAAATATGTATTAATATAGATTTTTGCTCGTACGGCTTATCGCGCCGTGAATATGATGCGTGTATGTGGTATGTACGTGGTACGACGTAGTAAACGTTGATCGAGAATGTGTTTTATCACGTTAAGC